GGCCCGGTTTCATCCACGCCTGGCCCGGTTTCATCCACGCCTGGCCCGGTTTCATCTCCAGCTTCATCCACGCCTGGTCCGGCTTCGGCTACTGCTTCAGCATCGCCTGGTCCGGCTTCGGCTACTGCTTCAGCATCGCCTGGTCCGCCTTCGTGTCTGCATCCTCATCAGCCTCGCCTGGTCCGGCCTTCGTGTCTGCATCCTCGCCTGGTCCGGCCTTCGTGTCTGCATCCTCGCCTGGTCCGGCCTTCGTGTCTGCATCCTCGTCTGGTCCGGCCTTCGTGTCTGCATCATCATCTCCGCCTGCTGCGGTCCCGGCTTCCATGCCCTCAGCCTCGCCTGGCCCAGCCTCGTTTGGGTCTGGAGCTAAACGGCCGTTTTCTGGACCGCTGGCCGGGCTACTGGCCGGGCGCCGTTGCCTGACTGGCCGCCGTTGCCTTCTGCACGGCCGGCCCCCGGACCGCCATTGCCTGAGCGGCCGCCGTTGCCTTCCGCACGGCCGGCCCCCGGACCCTCTTCGCCTGAGCGGCCGCCGTTGCCTTCCGCACGGCCGGCCCCGGACCCTCTTCGCCTGAGTGGCCGCCGTTGCCTTCCGCATGGCCGGCCTCCTGAACCTTTTGTGCGCCTCTACGGCCATCTTCGTGGCCGGCCACCTGAACTGTGCTTCGGACTCTGCTCCCCTGTGAGTTTTGTGGACGTTTGTTTGGGACTCTGGGGCCTTCGTTTTGGTCATGGCCCGGTCCCTCCGTCCTGGGCCCCCTGCCACCCGCCCGGGTCTGGTGGTGTGTTTTTGTGGCTGTCAGGGGCCGGCCCTTGAGGTGGGGGGTACTGTCATGGTCCTGCGGCCATAACTGAGTGACTTTGTGTTTGTGTCCCCTATTGTTATTACTTTCATTATTATTCATGGCTGTTTTGGGATGGTTTGTGTTTGGGATTTTAGACACTGGGTTCTGGGTTTGTGCTCCCTCTGTTGGTCCCTGGTGTTAGTGTTCCCCTGTCTCGTCAGGTTAATCAGGTCCAGCTGTTTCCCCCACCTGTGTGTGATTTCCCAGTGTCTCTTTGTGTATTTATAGTGTGTGATTTCCTCTGCTCCTGGTCGCGTCGTCTGTGTTCATACCTGGTGTAATCCCCTGCATGCTCTCCCTTCATGCTCAGGTTTGCTATTTCTTTGTGTAGTTTCTCCCAGTTAGTTCATCCTTAGTTCTGTTTTACCATCCCCACTTTATATTTGATATTATCAATAAATCACCCTCACACCTGAATAAGTGCTGCGTTTTGAGTCCTCCTTCCACTCTCCACACGGCCGCTGCCCCGGACCGTGACATTAACTCTGTAAGCTGAAAAACCTTACATTAATATACACTCATATGAAATCCATGGCATGTTGAAACAGTAGCTAGCACTGACACTCACAGCAAGGTCTTCGATTAGAATCCACTGTCTGGCCGTGGGTTTGCATAGGTTCTCTCTGGGTTCTCCGGCTGTCTTCAATAGTCCAACCACATGCTTTTAGTGAGGTTAGGTTAATTTCCAAATTGCCCATAGTTGTGAATTGTTGTCTGTCTCTCTGTGTTGGCCCTGTGTCAGACTAGGGGTGTACCTAGCCTCTTGCCCTATGGCAACTGTGATAGGTTTCGCCCCACTGTGACCCTAAATTGGATAAGTGGAAGAGAATGGGTAGAGTAAGAATTCCAGCAAAATAAAATGATGTTTAATGTTTAACAACAGATTACATTTTCTATCCTTGTCTGCAAAATTAATAAATTTATAAATATATAATATATAAGTGAGACATTTACCCTGAAATGCAACAAAAGAGAAGTAACTTTACACCTTTAAAACATTCATGAGTAAATCTACTTTTCGAACTTTCCTTTAATCACTGTGGTGGTTGAGATGTTTTTACTGACCCTTCAAACTTTGCCTTCTAAAAATACTTGCTGGAATATTCTAATATTCTGTTTAGAGGAAATACTGACATTTATTCATGTAACATTTTAAAGCACTAAAAACACAAGGAAAACTGAAACAACACGGGGTTCTTTCTAATGTTGTGAGTTGAGATAAGACGGAATAGTAGAGTGGACAATTTTATTAGTTTACACACTGATTACATCTGATCACACTTTAATATTGATCATCATCATATAATAAATACAAAAAGTACATGATAAAAGCTTTGTTTCACATACAGTCATCACCATCATCATCATTCATATCATACTTGCTCACATGAACACAGAAGAAGAAATGATAAGGATCTATCAATACATTTAAATTTTTCTTTATAGCTGAAGCCTAAGATTAACACCCAGGCCCAAACCTAGCTATTAAGTAAGAAGGTACAGCTTTCAAAGAGGGACACTAATTCTAAGTAACCAATCCAATTAAAGTACTGATAGCATTGACATTTGGTTTGACCAGGAAGGGAAATTCATGGCTTTATCCTAAAGCCATAGCTCTGGAGTTTCACTGATACTAATGGTTTAAAAAACAAAAAAACAAAAACAACCTGAAGACTGTCTGATGATGCATAATTCCCCATTTCATTTTATAACGTAAATAATTAGTAATTAATAAAAGACTGTTTTGAATGACTGTTAATAATGTGTTGAAGACACTACTCGTGCAAAATGTGAAACACTAAATCGCAGCCTTGGCTTGGCAAGTTCACCATGCGTCTCTCCAAATTTAGGTGCTTAATGTGTTTTTGTTTTTAAATCTTCTTCTAACTTTTATGATTCAATGCAACAAGTATTTGAAAGCAATATTTCTTTATTTTACATCATGAATAGCATGGATGGTGAGAAGTTTACCTTGTGAATTGCTGGTATGCCCATACATTTACCCTAGTAGATGGTGTATTTTACAACACCACTTAGTACCTAAGGTTTGATTTCTTAGTGTTGTGAGAAGCACAAAGTTATCTTTCTAATACATTTTTCTTTAGTTTACTTTATAAAATCATATATGTATATTTTAATATTTCATGATAATTGGTTTCCTTTCTCCATTAGGTGACAAGCTGGAACCAGCAAATTTTTATAGTTTTCTTTGAAAACCACTTCCAGTGGCGCAGCTGCCCCTCTGTTGGTCTTCCTTGGTCTCTTGTGTTCTGGGGGCCTCTGGATGTCTGGAGTTTTGATCTCCTCCATACCTGCTTCATGCCCTGGAGGACGGGGCTGTGGCCCCCCCACACCCTCTAGCAGATCATTACATGAAGGAACCTTTAAAAAACAAAAAACAAGCGCGTCCATGCTCACAGGTGTACACACGGGTGATCACACCCACAAACTACACCCTTTTTGGCTCCTACCTCAAAGCACACTGTGTTCTGTTGATCTTATGTGCTGCACAATAATGTTTAATATTTAATATTTACTGTCATATTCCCATATATCATTGTGATATTGTTTATTCTATTACTCTTGTTCTCTTCTGCTTGTTTTCTTTTTTCTTTCTCAGCAGGTGACCCAGGTGATTGATATATGCATTTTTTTTCTTTTTTTCTTCTTTTTTTCTTTTTCTGCTCATTCTGTTGGTTTTTGGTTTTTGCCCTTCTCCCCCGTCCCTCTTCTCAGCTGTTTCTCTTTCCCTCTTTCTTTCTCCCCTTCTTTCCCCAGTCAAGTCTGTCCCATGTTCAGTAAGTGAAAATAAAATAAACAATAAAAGGTGAATCAAATGGACCATTACGGCAAGGCTGGGATGGTCAGTTTGGTAAAGTAAATCCGTTGGGCATCTTTCTTTGCCTTTAGACAACAATTCTGATGGCAAAAGAGCCAAACGGGACAGGCAAAAAAAAAAAAAAAAAAAAAAAAAAAAAAAAAAAAAAAAAAACCACTTCCATGATTTGATCTTTCCAGTCATCGTCCTGCGATGATTCAACCAGTCGTTTAAGCTTTACTGTGTATGTGATATTTGAAGGATCAAACTAGGAATGTTCTATACTATTTGTTGAGTGAGCTAAAGTAATTTGACAATATTGTGAATATGTCCTAAAATAGACCAGCTCAATGCTTTATTTGACAGTCTGTATAAGCCTGTTTTAAATCTTCAGCATTTTTCTTCTCACATTCAATAATCATGTATGTACTTTAATCCTGTAGTCAGTCTAAATGTCAAGCTTCAAGAAGTTAATGCCCCCTCAAGGACAGAAAGTTAGATCGTTAAGGGAAAATACAGCAAACAACACTAGATATTTGTAGTATTTTCCCAGATATTTCTGGGAGATATTGTAAAAATAAAGGATTTGATATTCTACCTAATATTTTGGTTTTACTCACAAACATTGAGGGGTGGCTGTTGCTCAGGAAGTAGACCAGGTCATCTACTAATGAGAAGGTCCATGCCAAAGTATCCTCAAGCAGGTATCCTAAGCTGCCCTCCAGTGCGTTCATTGGAGTATAAATGTTCAATAAAAAGGCACTTTGGCATCAAAAAAAGTCCTTGGGTAAATGAGGCAAGCTGTGTAAAGCGCTTTGAGTGCTTAAGTAGTGCAAAAAAAACACTATTTCCAAACCAGTCTATTTCAAATTTCATTCCTGCCTGTGTGTTGAATCAATGTCCTGGAAAAACTGTGTAAATTTTTGTGATTTAGACATTACACACAAATATTTGTAAATATATATAAAAGAAACTGCTTAGTGCTTGAAATAGAAGTAATAATGTATGTGTGTGCGCAAGACACCGTTGTCTTTTACAAATATGTCAAGTGACTTTTCCATATTTCCACATGTTAAAACCTTCTTGTTTTAGGTCAGCCACAGCTCTACAAGAGTAAGGACAAAGTGAAAATTAGGGCTTTATGGAAAAGGAGGACCCTTTTATGAATTCTGAAATACAGTAAGTCGTTCCTGTTCATGTCTCCAGACTAGAGAAAAACTAAAGTTTATACATAAAAAATGAGAGAGTGACTCTATGTTCTTATTCCAAAACGTACAAATGCAACTCTGGAAGATTTATTATATAATTTTCAATTTCACTTTTACTCTCTTTTAGTCTTTTTTTTTTTTTTAAATATCTGTCACTTTATGTGTTAAATGTTCTAGTGTTTTCATCAATAGCTGTCTGTGTATCCTGCTCCAATCTGCTTGGCAGGCAGCTGTTTAAGGCTCCATAACTTTAGTGGTTTACACATTTGCCTCCCAAGTGAAAGGTCCCACACACGATGTGTAAGGAGCAGCAGAAAATTCTTTTTCAGCTTTCCTTTTTCTCTTAAATAGCTTTCAGCTAAGTCACAAATTATGGCACAAGAGCATAATGTTACCATATTTAAATGCTAATCATGCGGAAGGACAAGTAAATATTAGCTTTGTTGGGTTGTATCTGTACACTTTTGTGAAAATGTGACAAAATGCAATCCTTTAAGAATTCCCCTGTACCTTGATACAATCCTCCTATACTCACTGACTAACCTAATAATCAAAGAAATGCATTTTATAAGATGAGAAAGGTTTTAGAGATACATGTTTTTTGTACAGGGACAGAAAAATGTTAAAACAGACTGCTACTTTTATAGCACTTTTCTATTCTATTTCAGCACTTTCTTACCACAACTCTCATTCATATACACATCCATGTCTTTTTCTATGCCTAAACACATTTAACCAAAAATTCAGATGGATGCATTTTAAGATTTAGTATCTTGCCACGTGGAAGTAGAGGAGCCAGACATTGAACTGGATGAGGTTGTGTTCTAATAGGTTGTCTATTAACCTTCCGGTTAGTAGATGACCTGCACTAATTCCTGAGCCACAGCCACCCAAAGCAAAAACTGACAATTAAAATATGGTTTTAAATGACCACATAATTAAAACAAACTTTGATTTCACTTTGGGAACTTTGACCTTGGCTTTCTTTTAAATCCAAAGTCTAATTTAATTATTGCAATCAAAAGTAATAACCACACACCCTTGTGTTGAGTTTAAGTTGTCACCTTTTACATTAGTCAGGTTCCAATAAGTTAAATCAAAAATGATCATTTAAGGTTTTGGTTGTTGCCTTTGAAACAGTAAAGAACCTGGGCCCAAATATTACTGAGGAAGGGCATATTCTGTCATGGTCACCAGAATCCTCATATACTACACTGTCATGTCAACAAAAACAGTTTATGCACTTAGAAATCCAGAAAGTAGAGGCCGCAGATTATAGCTCACCAGCAGTGCAAAAAAACAAATAAAACAAACAAACAAAAAAAAAAAACCCAACAGAAAATGCACGACAACACCCCATTTACCAAATGCATTAATGTGGAATATCATGCAATTAAATACCATCAACAGCGTAACTGTAGTTAAGTCACCACGATAAAACTGGAAATTTACATAAACATTGGGATATTTCAACATTTCAACCATAGTTTCAGTAGTTAACTTGCAATGTTCAGTACATAAATATCAGTTAAGAACAACAGTAACATCTTAGCATGCTGCATGGTTTTCACTGTCTCACAGAGTGGTTGGGGGTCGTGAGGGATGAGGAATGGGGTGGTGGGGAGTTAAACACCCAATAAATAAATTAAATTAATTAATTAATTAATTGTGTTGTGCTGTGCTGTTGCACAACACAATGAAATTCATAATAAAATACACCCACCAGACTCTTTGTGTGAGACACGTGATACTGATTGTTCATTTCACACAGGCAGCCTTAGTCGTGCAGAACAGCCACTGCTAATGACAACACAGGAAGGAATCATGCATTGTCATAAAAAAGAAGAAAGGATTAAAATGGATAATAAATAGACTGTACAGTTGAAAGAACACAGAGACAGACGGTGGCCATAATTATACTAGAAGTAACAATAGGAAGGAACAATAGCTTTTTTGTTTGCTGTAGGCAGGCCGAAGAGTTACAAGAGTTTAATGTTGTAGCTGATGTGTCCTCTGCTGTCAGAAGATGGGAGCACTGCTATTACTGTCTGCTGTTGTCGAAGTTGTACAGGGAGAGAGAGAAAGAAGTGGGTGCAGGAGCATGACCACAATCCCCAAATCAGATTCCTTCAACCCCACCACACATCCACCTGCACCTCTCTCTCAGTGCTGCTTCTTTCTCTGTGATTATCTGCTCGTTACTTTTCTGCTCTGCCTCCTCAAAATGCCTGGAAAAAAGTATTTACACCCATTCAGATTTTGCATATTTATTTTTTGTGCTGCAGATATACATTTGTTCCCATGAAGCTATATTTAATAACCCCGAATGATTGAGTGAAAACACATTTTTATAAATGTTCATCGTCTGCGTGAATGCTATTGTTGTCCTACCTCACCCCTGCAGCGGGGCAGAAGGAGCTCCTGAGCAGTGGAAGTGGACATTTTGCCACCGGCTGTCCCTGCGGTGCCATACCCTGGTCTCTTCAGATTGGCTTGAGCGAGGACGGCCCTGGCCATCCACGAACTGCGTCAGGCGGATGTAGGCGATGCAGGCAGCATCGTCCCCAATTATATGCACATGGGGGTTAAGGATGGTGGTGTGGATAGGTTTGCTGTTCTTTGAGAGGACTGATGGGAGACAAATAGTCCACTTAGCGATGAATATTAAATATAGATGTATCATATATTTTACATTTTCAAAACATCAGTAGTAGATTGAACTAGTCTTACGATTGTCAAAGTAAAATCTGTGGAAGTCCATTCCCTCCACCAGATTTCCCAGCCCCTCAGGTTCAAATGAGGTCAGACCAGGGTCGCAGATCTTCCTGTTAGTCAAGATATATTTTTACACAAATGACGCACGGAATAATTTAAATTTTTAGCAATGCTATATATCTCATAGTTAAAACATTTTAAAAAAATTTATAACACTGACAAGGAAACCTAAAATTCTGCCCACGTCTGTTTAAGCAGTTACAGTTACTGTTTCATAGTTCTGACTTAGCATGTCAAAATTCTTGCTTACTAAGTAACAACCATTACAGACCATCTCACAACTGCACCCAGGTTTGTTAATACAGTAGTTTCTTTTCATTTATGCATTTATGATGCACCTTCCAAACTGTAACAATATTAAACAATGTATACACAATTAGTAAAGATATTATAGAGCTTATAATTTTGCTCTATCATGCTCCTCCCTCATGAAATGGGATCAAATGTTAGAGTCACACTTCGAATAACAATAATAATAATAATAATAATAAATATAGCGATAAAAACAACAATCATTGTCACAAAATACTAAATGGAAAACCTTTAACCTCTTAATTTAAACTCTTTCTAGTATTTCTTATCTCATTTCATTTTATCCTACATTATATTTCACTAATAACAATATACATCACTTACAGTTTAATTTCTTGGCACTATCATATGGACGCTGGAGAATCTTTTTTTTTTCACTGCAGCGAGTAAGTTTTTTTTTTATCTTAGTTCCCTTTATCATGTGTGTGTGACGCTCAGTTTTGCAGCTGCTCTGTCAGGTGGATTCTGTTCAACTGTGTCTCCTCCTTAGTATATAAAATGGTGTAAAAAAGTGTTTGCCCCTTCCTTATTTCCTATTTTTGTATGTTTGTCAGACTTAAATGTTTCAGATCATCAAACTAATTTAATTATTTAGACAAAGATAACACAAGTAACCACAAAATGCAGTTTCTAAATGACGTTGTTTATTATGAAGGCAAAAAAACCCCAAACCTACATGGCCCTGTGTGAAAAAGTGACTTCCCGCTAAACCTAATAACTGGGTGGGCCACCCTCAGCAGCAACAACTGCAATCAAGCATTTGTTATGATTGCCAATGAGTCCTTTACAGCACTGTGGAGCAATTTTGGCCCGCATATCTTGGTGGAATTGTTGTCATTCAGCCACATTGGAGGGTTTTTGAATATGAACCACCTTTTAAAGGTCATTCCACAGCATCTCAATCAGATTCAGGTCAGAACTTTGACTGGGCCACTCCAAAGAGTTCATTTTGTTTTTCCGAAACCATTTAGAGGTGGATTTGCTGGTGCATTTTGGATCATTGTCCTGCTCCAGAACCTAGGTGTGCTTCGGCTCGAGGTCATGAACAGATGGATGGACATTCTGATAAGGATATTTTGGTAGACAGCAGAATTCACAGTTCCATTTACCATAGCAAGTCTTACAGGTCCCGAGGCAGAAAAACAGCCCCAGACATCACACTTTCACCACTATATTTTACTGTTGATATGATGTTCCTATTCTGAAATGCTAGATGTAATGAGACATACACCTTTCAAAAAGTTATACTTTTGTATTATCAGTCCATGGAGGAATTAACCAAAAGTCTTGGAGATCATCAAGATGTTTTCTGGCATTTCCCTCTTGTCTGTCATTTTATGTGTCAGTCAGTTCTAGCCCTGCCTTGTTACCATTTTGGCTTTTTTTCATCACCTGTTTACAAGCAAATAAAGCTGTGATTCTGAGTTTAGTTCTTCTATAACCTTCTATATACCAAAGTATTGTAGATTCCAAGTAAATCTTTTTCTTAGGATTGTCTATGCAATCCTAAGAAAAAGATTTATTTGTAGACAATATGTTGTGTAAACTGACTGAAATAGAAGTCTATGCCAGGGTGCTGGAAAGGAGAATTTGTCCGCTAGTGAACCTCAGATACAGGAGGAACAATGCGGTTTTCGTCCTGGTCGCAGAACACTGGACCAGCTCTTTATCCTCTCAAGGATACTTGAGGGCGCATGGGAGTTTGCCCAACCAGTCTACATGCATTTTGTGGACTTGGAGAAGGCATTCGACTGTGTCGACTGTGTCCCTGAGGCCATGGTTCTCAGCTGGAAAAGGGTGGAGTGCCCACTCAGGGTCGGGGATGAGTTCCTGCCCCAAGTGGAGGAGTTCAAGTATCTCGGGGTCTTGTTCACAAGTGATGGGAGAAGGGAGCCGGAGATCGACAGATGGATTGGTACTGCGGCCGCAGTGATGCGGACGCTGCACCGGTCCGTCATGGTGAAGAGAGAGCTGAGTGTAAAAGTGAAGCTCTCAATTTACCGGTCAATCTACGTCCCTATCCTCACCTATGGCCACGAGATGTGGGTAGTGACCGAAAGAATGAGATTGCGGATACAAGCGGCGGAAATGAGCTTCCTCCGAAGCTCATTTCTGCGCCTATCTCCCTTAGAGATAGGGTGAGAAGTTCAGCCATCCAAGAGGGGCTCAGAGTAGAGCCGCTGCTCCTCCACATCAAAAGGAGCCAGCTGAGGTGGTTCTGACATCTGACAAGGATGCCTCCTGGGTGGGATGATCTGATATCCTCGTGTCCGTGTTGTTCTCACATCATCATAATAAATGTTGTTCCAGGTTCAACATTGCAAGTGACCAATCACATTGTTGTGACGTCCCCCTTTTGTGCCTTTGAAAAATACAGCCATAAAAAAATCTACTTCATTTGCGAGAAGAGAAACCACTTCTGTCCGCCAATCCAGGAACTTGAATTCTTTGAATTTCAGGATACTTTTCTTTAATAAACAGTAAGCATTATACATATTGTCCTTACAGAGGCGGTTTCCCGATTTTTGAAGGCGTTTTTTTTGAGGTCGCGGATGACGTCAGGAGAAGATGATTGGTCACTTGCAATGTTGAACCTGGAACAACATTATTTATGATGACGAGGGAACAACGCCAACACGAGGATATCAGATCGTCCTCCTGGGTGAGGTGTTCCGGACATGTCCCACTGGGAGGAGGTCCCGGGGCACCCCCAGGACACGCTGGAGAGATTATATCTCTCTGCTGGCCTGGGAAAGCCTTGGTGTTCCCCCGGATAAGCTAGAGGAGGTGGCTGGGGAGAGAGGGAGGTCTGGGCTTCTCTGCTTAGGTTGCTGCCCCAGCGACCCGGCTCCGGATAAAGCAGAAGAAGATGGATGGATGTTGTGTAAATTTAATTTAGTATTTAATTTTTCTCATTGTGTATCATGACTTCAGCTGAATCTTATAACTGTGACTGAGCAAGTCAAATATTTAATTCAGTTTAAATTTTAAATTAAAAAACAAAAAAACAATCTCACTTTCAATTTTGAACTAATTACTAAAGATTGTGAATTTAGTAGTTCATACTCCACAGTTTAGTGGTTTAAACAGTCACCTAACAAGCAAAAGTTTCTTGGTTCAGTCCTGCGGGAGACACAAATCCTTCTAGGGTTGCATCAGGATAGGCAGCCAATGTAAAAAATCTGCCAAAACAAACTTCCTGCTGATGTGACTCCTTGTGAATAAGGGAACAGGCAAAAGTAGCTTATTCTACTAAAGATGGTAAGTTTAACTTAGAGTCTTGTAAAATACAGCATGTTTTGACATCCTAAATTTAACCCAGACTTTTAGTCTCGATTTCTGACTTGCAAATGTATATTTTTGAGGCAGTAGTTCAAATTGCACTTTTGACTTCCCTGTGTTACATAAACTTACCTAAACTGATCATGGTTGTAATTTTTTGAAATTTTATATTACTATCTTTTGAATGTGACTCAGTATGACATACAATTACTATGTCTTTGTAGTTCCACTTCCAATTTAGAATTACAAATATTACTCAAAGTAACTCAGACTTATTTTTGAGCTCTGTGAGTAACTGTTGTATTGTTTTTGCTTATAATATAATTGCTTTTTTAAACTCATGCATACATTTTAATCTGTGTCACCTTTCTTTGTGGAAATGGGTTTCCATCACTCTAGGTACACTTTAACCACCCCTCCTCACTCTACGTCAGAAGCATTACTCTTAATTATACGGCAGGTAGAGAGGGGAAGAGAGGATAAAACAATGACTACAATTACTCTTTAATCTTTTAATACAACATGTTTTTATGTCAATCAGATTAATGATTCTCTGTGGTTGATGGAGAGCTTTAATGTCCACTTAAAGAGCTAAAATTGTACTCTTGCAGCAGCTGTTTAAAAAATCTTTTATGGAACCAGAAGGATGTGCATTGGACTTACGCGTAGGCCTCAAAGTCTCCATTGTTGACAGCTTCAATAAGCTGCTCTGTGATCTTTATGATTTCCTGTTTGCGAGCTGCAGAGAAGAAACAAAAAGTGTGAGAAAATCTGATTGTATCCCAAGTGACATTTCGGCTTCACTGTGAAGCTACAATGTACTAATGTTCCAATGTACGGATGCAAAACTCTGCTCATGACACTGAAAAATTGAATGCAAATCAGTTCACACTTACCTATGAGCTTGCTATTCATTGTAAATGTTATCAGTCATCGCTTTCTCATCTGAGGTTACAAGTGAAAACTCCTTCATGCTGCTAAACATAAAAACTACTTCACTACTTAGATCCTCCCCTACATATCCCCCATTTTTAAAAATGCTTCCAACTGCTCTGTAAAGGCGATGAATTGCTCGCTACCATCCATCATCCATCATATCTCTTGTTTGCATGTGAGGCTGCTTGAGCTCATCAAGCTATTCTTGTCCCAGCTCTTCAGATGAGATTTACTGTGTCCCTTTCCCCTCGCTTCCTCCCTACACTGAGAGGAAGGCTTAGCTTGCTCTAATTGTCCCTCTTCCTCCCTCCCTCTCTCTCTCTCTCTCTCTCTCTCTCTCTTTCCCCATATATATATATATATATATATATATATATATATATGTGTGTGTGTGTGTGTGTGTGTGTGTGTGTGTGTATGTATAGCTGCACGGCGTCGACGCGTTAGCACGGTTAGCTTGTTAACACATTAGTGCCGTGCAGCCCCATGGGGCGATCCGCGCTAACTCACTAACGGAGATTTGCCATGTTAATGCAGTTACAGCTTTAACGTCATTTTAACAAGATTAACACTGACAGCACTAATAATTTTATAAAGTAAACTAAAGAAAAATGTATTTGAAAGGTAACTTTGTGCTTCTTATAACACTAAGATATCAAACCTTAAGTACTAAACGGTGATGTCAAATACATATATATATTTCACATCTGCCTTTCTTACAAGTTGACCCCAAAATGTGTTATATAATTAAATAAAGTAATGTCAAGCAAGAGAAAATGAGCTATCAAATTTGTTAGAAATAAACTATTGTATAACGTTATATAATAAGTTCAAATTATTCATAGCTATATTATTGTCACATTAAATACTCCTCTATAATAGCAGGGTATCAGTGGGAGCTGTGCTACCGTTGGCTGAAGACAAAGTGAGAGGAAGGGAGAAGTTTTGTCCAAGAGTGTCATGGTCATGGTTTGGGTTTTGAGAGTTGATGGATCTTTTGGATTCAGAAAAAGTTTTATGTTTAGGTTTTGTTTCTTGTCTCTTTCTGTTATACAAAAAAAATAAAAATTAATTCCCCATTTGCCCTGTAGTGAGTCTTTATCCTTCAAGCTCGGGTCCTCTACCAGTGGCTCGAGGGTCCCATGCAGTATCTTTGCTCTTCTGGACAGAGATCTCAGATGTTGTTCCAGGGATCTGCTGGAGCTACTCCCCCAGTTTTGGGATCACTGACTCGAGTGCTCCAATTACCACGTGGACCACTGTTGTCCAATTTTGACCATAGCAAATTCCAGACCATGCTCAGCACCGATGTTCTTGTATACTGTGCCAGCCACTCAGTTATGGCATTCCTGCTGTTATGTGTTGGATCGTCTCAGGGGAATCTTTGCACAGCCTGCACCTGGTGTGGTACACCCTCTGTGGATCTTACTGCCTTTGTGCTGTCTTTCAGTCAAGCTTTGTCCAGCCACTGGTGGGATTTCTTGACGTTGGACACTTCTTCTATCTGACAGTGGTACATACCATGCAGGGGCCTGTCTATCCATGATGGTTCATCTCCTTGTTCCTCTTCTTCCTCAGGTTTGTGACTCGCTTGTCCTCACCCTCCTTCCTTCCACTTAGCATACAGGTCTCAGGGTGCTGGATTTAAGGTGAAACCCTCCATGCATGTTAAGAAGCCTTCTTGTCTCAATGTCAGTGGTTTCTATCTTGTCCTTTGGCCAACTGATTATCACAGCAGGGTATCTGATGACAGGCAGGGTGCAGGTGTTGATTGTCCAGATCTTGTTCTTCCCATTCAGCTAACTCCTCAGGACTTGCCTTACTCTCTGCAGATATTTGGTGGTTGCAGATTTCCTAGCAGCCACTTCATGGTTCCTGTTTGCCTGTGGGATTACCAGGTACTTGTAGCTCTCCTCAACGTCTGAAGTGTTGCAATGCCCTCAGTTCTGACTACCTGACCTCTCTTTTCCAAATGATATGTCATTGCTGTAGACCCTAGTGGTGTGGATGAGTGAGTCGATGTCCCGTCCACTCCTGGCATACAGCTTGACGTCATCCATGCAGAGGAGGTGGTTAACGAAACACAAATACCAGGGTGATGAGTTATGTGATTGATACATTGCCTTTTAATGTATCAAAATCCCTTATTGACATATTATTGTATCATGGGTTCCTGTGACTCTAATTGCTAATTTATTCTCCAAGGTAATTGAACTACACTTCTTCAGTCGAAATGATATAAGTGAGGAAATTCCATAATTTTAGATGTTTAAATCTTCCACATAAAATGAATATTTGATACAATAACTACATAGATTTTGTGATGTGCTACACAAAGACGCTGTCTAAGAGTAAAAGGGGGCCTTGTATTGCTATGAGATTTTTAATAAAGTCAGTCTTTGCATGTATGAGGCCTACCTTTCACATCTTCATCCTCAATAGTTGTGTTGCTGCTATCAGATGATTCCTGCAAAGTACAGAAACCTGATTACAAAAAATTCACATAAATAATTAATAAAATTAATAAAAATAAATGTGTTTTTTTACACATCCATAAATGCATGCACACATATTCACAACACGCTCAAATTTCTTCATTAAAATCTACAAAACCTCCACACCACGTATACCAAGTATACAAAGCCAAGCATTTGACTTTGCATCACTCCGACACAATGGACTGAGCTGTCTTAGCATAAATGGACAGAGACACACATTTCTTAGCCATTGTTACACATAGGTTGTACAGTGGTGGTATGGTGGTTACTCTGGTAGCACTCTAGTTGACATATGAAGATTGCTAAGCCAGTGGCAGAACCATTGAGCTCCACTGATCTAAACACAGTAGGGGACCATAAGACAAAGAAACACCTCACAGGACTCAAGCAACTCACACTCTCTCTGTCTCCCACATGCATAAATATACAAAGAGATGCACACATTTATTAAAGAAACTTCAAAAACCCTGAAAAATACAGTTTAGCCCACATGGCTAGAGAAACAATGTAGGGACGACAATGACAAATGAAAACCAGTATAAGAAAATAATATGTGGACAAAAGGGAGGAGGATGTACCTTGATCCCATCTACTGGATTATGGATAACAGTAGTCTGAGGTTCCTGGAGGAAGAATGGAGAGAAAGAGAGGGGAGAAAACAGAAAGAAGTTGTGGAAACAAGTGAAGGTGTTTCATGATGGCAAAAAAAGGTTGAGAGACATAAGAGAAAGATAAGCACAGCGTAGGATGTGAGTAACACATGGAAAGATGGTAAAAATTCTGAATAGTACGTTAAAGATTGGAAAGAGTTCATGGTAAATGATGACCTTAAATTCCCAATAAATCCACAATTGTGAATGATAACTAAATTCTCTGTCGCATGCATTCTCTCCCTCATCAAAGTGATCACTTTAATCCCATTCATTTCATTATAATTTAAATAAATGCAGTTATTAATCTTGTATACAATAACTTTCAATGTATGGTAGTGTACTACATGTATGTGATTCTGCCACACATATACAGTAAGTGGTGTAGAAAATTTTAAAAGACTAAGTCAGGTTAACTTCATCATGGAAAGACCAAAACAATGCATCCCAAAGAATTTTATCTACCAAAGCTGTTTATAACTTATTGTTAGGTGCATTTATTGTCAAAAAGTAATTTTTGTAATTTAAGTTTACTGGTTAGTTCTGAGGTCATTCTTATTACATTAATGAGTTTGTTTACGATCAGTTTAGTTTCTTTTCTATTGGGTTCCCCTTGTGTCTTTGTCCTGTGTTCCTCTGTTTGTGTGTCCTTGTGTCTCGTCTCTCCTTCCTGTTTACATGTTTCCCTTGCTCTGTCATGTGTATCCATGTATGTTTTTCTTCAGCCCCTCATGTCTCACTCCCTCTCTCAAGTGTCCCTTCTAGCTCACTTGCTCGTGTTGTCACAGTGTACGTCTGGCTATGTTTCCTTTTTTATTTTGATAGTCCCGTGTTCCAGTGTGTTTTAGTTTCTCTTGTTTCCTGTTTTACTTTGAAGGTCTATGCCTTATGTGCAGTGAATCTAGTTTTAGTTCCCTCTGTCTCGTTAGCCCTAATCTCTCCCAGCTGTGTCTCCCTCCTGTTTCCCATTCCCTGATTACGCCTCTGTGTATATAAGCCCTGTGTTTTCCTTTGTTCCCTGTTGCGTTGTACCCTCAGATTTTGCCTGTGTGTTCCAGTTAGTGCTTTCATGGTTTGGTTTTTGTTCTTTGCCAGCAATAAATCTGTGGTTTCGAGTTGCAATTTTGTCTCCACGAGTCCTGCGTTTGGGTCCTCATCCCTGCCTGCTCGCACACACAGCCTTAACAAGTTGACATAGGTACCATAAATGTCAACTTTTGTTTCAAATTGATGCAAATTTTAATCAGTTTTCTTCAGTTTTTGGTTGAAAAGTGCAACGTTTCACAGCCTCCTGGCTGTAAGCCTTTTAAAGTGGTTTTGATTGGAAGTGAGACCAGGTGCATTCTCCTAGTGTTTTTAGATTTTTAAACAATTACAAAGATGTGGACCATGCATTGGTTCCCCAGCGGGACTCTCAGTTCTACTGTCCTGGGGACATTAAAGTAGAACTGATGGAATGCAGAAACTTCTTGAGCTGTGACTGCAAGCATAAAAACAAAAATCTTCACTTGCCACCGGCTATATTTTCATCAACCATAGATGACTGCTTAACAGCAAATGCTCTGAAAATGGTCCAAATACATAGAAGCATATCATCTTGAAAGGATGATTTGCCAAATTTATGCCTGGAAAAGTTTTTGACTTGTATAGACCCATCCCAGAGGTTTGCAAATCAAGAAACAACCCAATACAAAGCTTCTTGATGTGTGGCTACAACCACAGCAACAAGGTTATTTTATTATGCATTAACCAGCCAGTTAAAAAAGAAAATAAAAACCCTAAATGGATCCATTAGTAGTTCTCAAGCGAGCACCCCAGTGGGTAGTGACTCTCACTGTTTCTTTTTGTGCCTTTTGGGTTATGTATGCTTGTATCTGGATCCTCCTAGAATCATGTTTTTACAGCAGCACATGCATGGACACCTTTACAAAGAATGAACACAAAGAATAATTCCAATAAGTACAACCTGTGTCAGTATTTGTTTTATTTTAAGGGGTTTGTTACTGGGATTGGACCTAACTGTACTCGCTTGGCAAGAAAGGGAAATGAGTTAAAAAGCAAAATTATTGAGCTGTTACTTTAAAAGTGATTGAAAACTTAGAATAACACACAAAATCATAGCAACAACCCATAGAGCTTTTCTTTTTTCTTTTTTTTTACCAAAACCATACACGTCTCCCCCTTTCTCAGTCTCTCTTTGACTGTCTCTCTCTCTCACGCGCGCGCGCGCACACACACACACACACACACACACACACACACACACACACACACACACACACACACACACAGCTAGAAATGTTTTGGACAGACAGAAACACATAGAGCTGCATACCAGTGCAGCAGAGGGGATGTTGCCTTTGGGACTGGTGACTATGCTGTTTCTCGTGCTGTTTGTTTGAGGCTGTGCAGGAAACAAAAAGTATTATATTAGTACTCAGTGACCATTCTGAGATGTGACTTTTGCTGGTAGTGAAGTGGGTGGTAACTGTGTAAAAGTATACAGTTAATAATAGCAGATGGCAGCAAAATTCTCCTAAGACAAAAGTAGTATCTAGAATCAAGAGTGTAGTCGTTCAACTATGGATCGAAAACAGTTTCCACAGTTTTTGTTTTTGCTACATTATTAATCAGGTAAAAAAGTTTTCAACAATCTTTCATGCTGACTCATTTCTCTATGCAGGAAAATCCAAACACCAATCACAGCATTTTTCTTTTTCATTACTGCCCACTGGCTGTGGATGTAATCTGGCAAATGGTAAATTAAATAAATAACAGCTGATCAACTCCACAATATCTGTCAAACATGAAAAACAAGCATCTATTTTGACTCACTGCATTAGTATCTCTAATGTGTCTTCCTGACATTCAAATAGAGAAAATGAGGTCAAAACGTAACAGAGATGCAAAACTTATGAAACAAAACAAACACAGAAAACACAGCCAGCCACTAGTAACATGTTAAATGTACAGCAAAAAGACTCACAGGCATAACTTTTCTATTTCAATTACATCAGAAGAAACATGCAAAACCAGGAATTATTCACAGACTTCATGCTTGAATCACTGGAATTCTATATTTTCTGTTCATATTTTTCCACGGTACTGTTACTTGTAATTGATGTTGTGTTAGGCAAAAGGACAAGAAAAAAAGTCCATATGGAAATTCAGTGTGCTCAGGGGCTGAAGCTGATCTCACCCACTTTATCACTGTTGCCAAATACTAACAGCAACGTTTCGTAAAAATGCTAAAAATACTCTCAGCTATCAACTTGTGGAGTCAATGCTTTGCATACTATGCTGTTTAAAAAAAAGCCTAGTTGGTTGCAACATCCATGGTGCTTTTCTAGCTGATGGGGAAAATGGGGAAATCTGAAAAGCTTATATTCACATTTCTATCACTGAAAAAAGGGTGAACTTTGTTAAACACAACATAGTTATCTTTCAACAAATTTGTAATGTACTTATGAGAAAAGCATTAAGAGTGTTCTTGAATGCTATTATATTTTCTCACATTAACTATTGCATATCCTCGTATCCCAAGAGAGGGTTACAACACTAAAACAAATTAAGCACCTTTATAATCAAGTTTTTAGGAAACCAAGGTCTTTTCATTATTGTAATTCAGGTGTGCGACTCATTTTTAGAACTGCTCACATTATTGAACCCCCACCTCTAGAATACTTAAGCAGAACACATGACCAAAGCTTTGAGATCAACTCGAGGTTACTTTAAGGTTCATAAAGGAACTCTCCTTTCTCCCAATCTGCCTTTTTATTTAAAGCTCTAATGCCTCCAGAGGGACTCCTTTGTTCCCAGCCTCCTGAAGGCCTCTGCCTCTTTCATTACCAGCCCCTTGTAAAACCACCTTGAAGGTCTCTGTTTCTTTTGTCACCAGCCTGTTGAGGGTCACTGATGCTGGCTTCCAGCCACACTACCGGAGCATAGCCTTCTAGTCAGTCTCCACAACTGCTTCATCTCTGCCACTGGTCTCCAGGCTGGGTCTCAACCTCAGCATTGAACTTTGCTGGAAACTTATACACATAGACCAGTACCTACTCTTTGACTTGTACCACCCTCTGCAACAAAAGCTTGGAGTAATCAGTATCCTGTAACACCGGGCAGAAAACATTGCCTTTAAGCCAAAAGGGAAAGAAAAAGAACACATACATTAAGAAAGCTCTTAAAACATCCAACTTATCCCAACTGAGCTTTCAGTTTGAGTTTACAAATCAGCACAGATGCACAAAAAAGAAGGTCACAACACCAACTAGGAAGAAACAAAATGACAAACAGAACAAACAACATAGTATATGCTGTGCAGTGCAGTGAAGAGTGCTCAGACCTCTAGACTGGAGAAACCAAACAGCCACTCCATAAAAGCATGGCACAACACAGAAGAGCCACCTGGACAGGACAAGGCTCAGAATAATAACACATTTGCACTTAAAGTGCATGCAGTGCATTTAACTTAAACCTGAATAGATTGCTTACACAAACTTATATACAGGTAAATGGATTGGTTCTTATGGAGCACCTTTCTACTCTACTTGAGCACTGAAAGGGCTTTGTACAAAATTCCTCATTTATCATTCAATGGCTCATGGCTCACCAACCGGCTATAATAATAGTAGATATTAAGCAGAAAAAGGACACAGTGATAGACGTCGCTATACCAAGTGATAGCAACATCAGGCAGAAGGAACACTTAAAATACATTAATTTAAAGATATTGTAATTGTCGGGATGTCTTTTGCCCAGCAACTCACAAAATTGCTTGTTGTGAAGTTTACTGTTTATTTCTTTCCAAAGTTATAAGAAACAATTACCAAAAATAATACTGAACAGTACATGCAACCTTAAAATACTGTAAATATCTTGTCATTAGGGTTAGTTACGACACTTACGTGTGAAGCTTTAAAAAAAGCATATTTACAAAAAAAAGCTGGAAACAAAGAGGAGATGTGGAAGTTATAATGAGAGATAGTGCCTGTGCCAATGCCAGAATGCTAAAATAGCTCCATGGTTGTTTATGTACATTTTACATCATGGTCCAGCAAAGGACAAGCTGTGGTTGTGTAATGATAGATTAATCATCTGGTGGGAAATAATCTGAGATTACCAATCTAAACCCCTAAGAAGGGAGAGGAGGGGTTGTGCGGAGGATGAAAAAGGGAAGAGAAGCTGAAGGAAAATGAAGAAATGTAGGATATGAAGAGTGACATAAGGAAACAGGTCAGGAGGAATGGAAGAAGAAGGGCTTCTGTCTGATGCTTCGTTGTCGGTGGCAACACTTTCCTATTTGTTAGTGATCTATTAAATTGCAGTGATTTTTTTCCAATCAGAACCACTGTACGATTCAAGTGTTTTAGGCACTTGTGACAGATCTTTAAAATACATTGTGCATGAAGAAAATCATTATGTTTTGCTACACATAAATACAGAATTGCTCTGCCACATTGGACAGGGGAAGCTTCCCATCCAAGCACATGCAAGTCAGTTGACACAGAGATCTATCGAAATCAAAAACATAACTGCTAAATGTTTTACTTATTTTTAAATGTATTCATTTGTTACAAATTCAAGACATATATTCCAGTTATCAGACACTTAAATAAAAAATGTGGATTTTGATACCAAATTTTTATGATGTTGTGTGAAATTTAAAAACTGACAAAGTTACTCCATCATCTAAGCAAGTTTTCTTTCTGTGTGATAGAGATACATCTCACAAGAAAGCACATTATACATGTTTCTCTAAGTCATCGGGCGATCGTGGCTCAAGAGTTGGGAGTTCGCCTTGTAATCGGAAGGTTGCCGGTTCGAGCCCCGGCTTGGATAGTCTCGGTCCTTGTGTCCTTGGGCAAGACACTTCACCCGTTGTCTACTGGTGGTGGTCAGAGGGCCCGGTGGCACCAGTGTCCTGTCAGTGCGTCCCAGGGTGGCTGTGGCTACAATGTAGCTTGCCATCACCAGTGTATGAATGGGTGCATGACTGGATGTGTAAAGCGCTTTGGGGTCCTTAGGGACTAGTAAAGCGCTATACAAATACAGACCATTTACCATTATCATTCAAAGGCATAGCTGATTCCTAGGTGACCCAGAGTTTGAGTTTTTTTGTCTGGACTTGTACTTTTTGTAAGGAGGAGATAATATCTGCTGATATTTTATATCGACAAAGCATTTAATTTAACAAGACATTATCCTCTGTTATTTTGGTACAAACAAACAAAGAAAAATAAATAAATAAATAAATAAAGTTAAACTATGAGCTGTGTGAGACACATTATAGGGTAATTACACTACAAATTTCACCCTACTTAAATAAAATCAGATCTATTTGGTTGAATAACTGAGTGTATCCAGCATTTATCAAAAGTATGAGGAGGTACAGGAGGAGGAGCTGTCATGGATGACCAAGCCGCTGCATGGAAAGTACCATCGACAAATAAAAGAAGTAGATGATATCAAGACATCCTACCAGTGACTAGAAAAGGCCAGTTTAAAGGAGTTTGAGTTTGTCTTGGTTTGGTCTTGTTCATTCTTTAGGGAATTATGCAATTCTTGTATTCAGTTTGCGTGCCCTGGTACTAGTCCTTAGTTCATTGAATTTTGTTCCCTTGCGTGCTCTGTTTGCCTTAGTTTATGTGTCCTCTGTGTGTCCTCCCCAGCACCCCCTGTGTGTAGTCAGTTGTATCTGGTTGCAAATGTAAAGTTTTTGTCTCTGTCTTGCCTCCATGTTTCTCTTGCCCTCTCTCTCTGTCCCGCACTCTAGCTCTCTCACTCATTCTCTGTATTTAGTCAGTTTGATCTCAGTGTTTGTTTTCTCTGTCTTCCTGTGTCTGGTCCATCTGTTTTCTGTTTTATCCTGACAGTCAGTTGTCCTGTGCACATCGTTGCATGCCTCACATGCTGATATGACACTCTGATCATGGCAGTACAGCAACAGGCCCTAAGCACCAGATGCACAACCAGGTCGCTGGGACAGTGTACAGGAACATCTGTGCCACATACAGACTAGCAGTCTGCCCGTCGTAATGAGAGACACCACCAAAGGTGGAAACAACAGCACTGAGATCTTGTGGGACTTTGGGTTCCAGACAGAAAAGCACCTGTTTGCCAACCAACAACACATAGTGGTAGCTGACAAGGAACAAAAGACAGCAACATGAGGAAGAAGGAGTATCCGAAAACAGAGGAATATCAGGGGCTGAAGGAACAGCTGGAGCAGACGTGGAAAGTAAACTACAAAGTGGTCCCAGTGGTAATATGAACACTAGGAACTGCAACCCCAAAACTGGCTCCAGCAGATTCCAGGAACAACATCAGAGGTCGCTGTGCAGAAGTGTGACCTAAACTGACCACTCACAGTTTACTACAAGCCTCATTTACCCATTCACACACACACACAATGGATACTGGGGGCAAAGTGGAGTTCTTGCCAGGTGCACTTCAACATTAACAGTGGTGGAGCTGCATAGTGAACCACCAACCGTATGACTGCGAATAACCCAACCTACCTGCTGAGCCACAGCTGTGTTTAAGTGCATTACATGTGACTGTGTCTATATTCTGAGTGCTTCATGCATTCAAAATGAATGGTGCCTTCACAGATATCCACTTTATCTATGTCATGTGTATTAATGCACTCCTATACATTAGAGATACTGGCTTTTAAACTTAAAACAAGCTGGATCATCCCTCTGCTCTAGCACAGTGGATGTGCTAACCATAATTTTCTTAAAGAATTTTACATTTTGACTGTTGGCACATTAAAATTTTAACTTGCTTTATCAGCAATGAACTATATTTACTGACAATGGTTTTCAGATTTCCACATACTTTCCAATAGCCAAAAGTGCATTCTTAATGCAGGGTCATTTAAGGTTGTGAATATCACAGCCATTTTATACTGGGTTTTCAGCCTTGTTCCTTGCATTTGCTTTTGAATAGTAATAATACAGTCACCAAATTCTTTGTGAGAAACCTGTTCTTAAATGGTTGAACCCCTCATCATCATTATGATCATTCTGAAGGTCTGACACTCAGTAGGGTGTTTGTGTTTTTACGTTTAATCATTATATTGGCCCATTGTCAGTTAAACTAAAAAAGTTGTTGGATGTTCCACCAATTCCATCTTTTTTAATAAGTTTCCTGACATGTTTTTTGGAATCCAATTTAAAACAACTTTGGATACCTTCCCAAACATGTCTTCCCCTGTTTTAATATTTCTAATTAAATTAAAAGGATAATGTGAAAGGATAATAGAAAAGCCTAGGAAAGAAAACAATATAGCCATCACAGACACCCAAAAACAATATCTTCCAAAAAATTAAAGTGAACGCAATCGTGCTTTAAAAAGATCACCCCGAATAGTTTGCATCTGCCTTTGACCAAAACATTTACGGATTAATAAAAGTAGTAGAAGTATGGAAGGACAGCCATGAATATAAAGAGGAAATGCTGCAGATGAAAATGAAGAGGATGACCTAGCTTACCTTGACATCAGCCTTCTTGTTGAGGAGACTCTTGGCTGCTGCAGAGAGGCAGAACGACACACCCTCAGATGGTAGAGTACACATTATTTACCTTCAGATGACGACTTTGTAATCTGCTCACACAAATGCAGATCCACATCCGCGGTCATTCATGCATGCATGCAGGCACTGGCTTAAAAGAAAAAAAAAATCACCTGCTTGTCAAAGTGCACAAATAAATGTGAAGAGTTACAATGCCTATCCTCCCATCCACTACCACTAGGAGGAGGGGGGAAAGGAATTTACCCCTCCCTCTGAAAAAATGGAAAATTCTTTCCCTGCGTCTTAAAAAGCAAATGAATAAAATGTGCAAAAACTCACACATATATTAAAAAGAATTCTCCATCCTGCTAGCACTTCCTGACCCTGATCCATTGCCCAAAGCATTAGATAAGCAGAGGGCATCAAACACGAGGGAGGGGGGAGAAGTCAAACTAATTCTCTGTATAATCCAAATACACTCTCTCGCACCGTTGCACGCACAGGCATAGATAGAAGGGGGATTAGGAGCGAAAGCATGAGGGAAGAGGAACAGAGATGCAGGTATATGATAATGGGTTTGTTAATCTGAAGAGTAGGCTGGATTAATTCACAGAGTTCACTGATGGGCAGGAATTAGTCTGGGATGATGTGGAAAAAATAAAGTATGTGTTTTGCTGCTTAAATGCTGATAAAAAAAAGGAAGAAACAGCTTAAAAACACTCCAGTTCTGCTGACATTAATCTTTTATCATGTTGGAGCTCTGAGTGGATGTGTGATCCCCAACCTAAAAGCAGCACTGAACAGTTACTGCACTCCACATTTAAAATGTGATAACTAAACTCCCACTTATACACCACAGTGCATGCTATTTGTCTGTACAAGGAAAGAAAAGTCTGTAATACTCTTCCCTTCAGATGAGAAATGAGATTGCTTACCTTGGCAAAAAGTTAAAGAAGCAATAAGGGTGAGGAAGAGGAGAGAAAGATTTAGGAAGAGAGATTAAAACAAGCTGAGGGATAGAGCTAAAGGAGTGTGTGATGTTGTGACCCTGGGAGATTTCCGTTTAATCACATCTGCTCCTGCCTCAATGAGGGGAAAGGATGTAAAGTTTTAAAAGCTGCAGGGAGAAAATGCTAAAAGATGTGCTTGCGAGATGTGTTTACCTTGTTCCACGATGCCAGCTGTGGTTCCTGCTACAGCGCTGACAGCAGCAGGGGCCGTAGTCTGACGGCCCACTGAAAAATACAGAGTATCATTAACAGTACCAGTCAAAACTTTACAGTTTTTTCTGATTGCTTAAGCACATTTTTTGTAACTATTGGCTAATTTTGCAAAACTCTTCACACAAATAAGAAAACCTGTCACCCAATCATCAAAACATTGTAGTTCTCTTGCAAAAGCAAACACAGCTAGATTAACTCTTCACACCTTCGTAAAAATGGTGTTTCCGTATCAAACAGTACACACAAGCCATCATCTACTAAGCACACAATGCGCCAACTGCACACTGATGGTATGAATATAAAACACATCTGGCTTTTGCTTTCTCTGTGCACAAGGTAGGCTATGTCAGTTTGAGCTCATACTTCTGTCATAGATCCATAAGCATAGAGGGATCCAAACTTCAAGTACGGGTGTTTATTCAAACACATCAAAACAAACACAAGTGTTTATTTCCAAGTATAAGATTATTTGCAATCGCCATAATGACTATATGGGTTACTTGGTCTGCAGTGAACATGCTTCCTCTGCCCCAGCATCTGGTCATCTAGCAATTCTGTAAAGTAACAATTTCAGTATTTTTACATCAATGGTATTGGTGTGTTTCTCATTGGCATATGGCAGTGCTACAAATCTTTGTGCGAAGTGACTGTACTAACCGATTCTCATTTCAAGATGTCCTTATGGTACTTGCTACAGTGTAGCGGCTCGAGTTAGGCTGGACCCGTTGGCCAGCTACCCTCAGGGTCATTCCACGGTTGATTACATGGTCCACTATTGTAGCTCTGATGTCATCAGCAATTCTATTTCTTACTCTTCCTACCCTTCCTCTCCCTCCTCCTCATCTTCCTCTCCCCCCTCCTCGTCTTCCTTTTGCTCCTCCTTGTCCTTGTCGTCCTCTTCATCCTACTTCTTCACCTCCACGTCCTCTTCCTCTGCCTCCTCTACTTCTCACTTTTTCTGCTCCCTCCATTGTACTCCGCACACACAGCTTACCTGTATTATAGTGCTTAGGCTGATTGCAAAGTGAACTAATTATCTAAAAAAGTTTTCACATGTGAAAGTGTGCCAGACAGTTGGAAAATTAGTGTTAATGATAGCCATACATGTGTATACTTTTGCTAGGAGTGTGTTGGAAATTTGGTAATTGAGTGTTGTGCAGTGAATTGTGCCTACAGTTTTGCAAAGTGTGTGTTACAAAATTGCAAACTGAGTGCAAAGCAGTTTTTGTGCTTTTAGTTTTGCAAACTCAGTGAGTGGTTTTGCTATAAGTCTGAATAGTTTTAGAGATTGTGCTACAGGAATCACAGTTAGGGTTTAAGCATTCAGAAAAAACTGTAATACTACTATGTGAATGGATCAAAACTAAAAAATAACACGTATGGGTTTGTGTAGAAAGAAAGCATAACCAAAACGACTTTATATATGGGTGATATTGTATTTTAATGCCAAATCTGTTTCAAGAACAGCTTTGAATATTCTTCAGTCTTCAACTAGCTTCATGAGATCATCCCCTGAGTTTAAGCAACAACTTTGAAGAAATTCCCAATTGCTGATCACTTGTTGGCTGTTTTTCCTTCAATCTGTGCTCTAATTTATCATAATCTCACTTGACTATCGGTCAGGCATTGTGGAAGTCAGATCATCTGATACAGCCCTCCATTATCCTTGTTATTGTTCACACAGCTCCCACGAGGCGTCTTGGTGTGACTTTACTCATGGTGCTCATGGTGCTACTGAAAAAAATGATGTTCGTTCTATCCATAAACAAGAGGGGATGTTGTGTTACTGCATGATGTTATGGTACTTATGCCAGCCACGAATCTGTCTACAGACTGGAGAAATTGCATTGCTTCATATGACCACTTGAGGCTGACTTCAAAAGTGAGCCAATCCCCACAGACTTCCATGTTATAATGTCCAACTTTACAAGATAAATGAACATATTTGCAGGCTATTATAAAAATAATTATGTCTCCCCATTTCATAAGAACTGTATGTAAACAGCTTATTCTACTAGTGATTCTTGTTTTGAGTATCTGGTGCCCCAGGAAAGGACTTTGGAAATGTCAACAGGAAGCACCAGAAGATAACCGTTGCCCAACCATTGTGAACTTAGGAACCGGAATTCAAATTTTTGGCTCTTTTTTTTTCTACTCATTTTTGTCATGTTGGATTATAGTCTCAAATGAGATGGAGGCCTTTGTACTGAGTCACAGCTTCCCCATTTGAACTTTACTGGGCACAGGATAGAGCGGATCTCTTTCCTGATCAGTGCATACCCCTTCTCCTTACTCTCGTTCCTCTCAACACTTGTACAAGAAATCAGCATTAGCATAGAATAGGTTAGTTAAATTAGGATAAAAGTCTGGTGAATTCATCAAGTGACTGTTACTATTTGACTAAACTTTTGCCAGTTCTTTTCCTGGCCACTAAAGAATAACCTGGTTAAATTTGCCATGTGCATGGACCATAGTGAAGAGCTGCTGTTAACAGGCAGAATCTCATAATTGACCTGCAGGGCTACTCAAAGTATTTCATCAGTAGATAGCAGGATCGACATCCAGAGGTTATCAGTTAGAACCAGGTGAATTTTCTCAACTCCGGCTCGGTAGTCTGGCATTACATGTTGGTCAATATCCTTTGGAATCAGAAGCTTTGATCCTTTAAATGAAGAGCCAGTCCACAACACTATAGGGATAGCTGGTACAAATATAACTCAAAGAGTCTACAAACCCATATGATGTTGTCATGCCAGATGAACCATGACATTGTGACATTACCCATTGGCTAGTGAAGTGCTACTGCAAAGCCTCAAGCTGAGCTATCTTGGTCTTATGCAACTGGATGTGACATTCAATACGGTTATCTGACAGAGAAACAGAAGGACACTGCTTGCTCACAGACTAGTCACTTGTCAATTGCATGGTAAAAAAAACTGTTTTATCCTTCTTTTTAACTCTAATGGTGATATAATTAAGAAAATAAGCATTGTAGTGAATTCAATAAGATTTAAATGTAGCTAAATGGACTGATTCTTATATAGCGCTTTTCTACTCTCCCGGAGTACTCAAAGCGCTCTATACAACACGCCACATTCACCCAGTCACAGCCATTCTCACTAGCACTACCTCTATACTGAGGGCTTTCTAACTACACTCACACACATTCATACTCCGATGGATGCATCTTGGGGTTAGTATCTTGCCCAAGGATACTTGACATGCAGACTGGAGGAGCCTGGGATCGCACCTCCAACCTTCCGATCAGTAGGTGACCTGCTCTACCTCCTGAGCTACAGCCACCCCACTGCTATTGTGGGGTGGCTGTAGCTATTGATACCATAGAGTCATCAGGAAAGTATTTACAGCCACAGATTAAGGGGTGGGAAGAATAGGTGTTTAAAGCATGTCCACATTACCTCCACCATGTTTTTATATAGTCTGATTTGAAATAAATCATTTTTACCTTACCTTAGGTTGCTGTCTGTTCATTAGAACTAAAGCTAATAAAATGTTACCTGATAGAAAGCAAGAAAAATACAAAAACACCAAAGTTCACTGCTGAGACTTTTTTTCAGGTGTTGAAAGTATTCAACAGGATTCATCGACCTACTTGTGCAGGTTGATGAACACTGTTTGTAATTAATTTGCTTGCAATTTGATGAGCTCCAGAAAATGCACTTTGTAGCACTAGAAATAAACTATTGTGTTAAGAGTTCTAATTTTGTATGTTTGGGGAAAATGTAAAAATAAATATTGGTATATCAGTTGTTCTTAGTTTTATAGTTTTTTTTAATATACAGGAGGGCTTACGATGTTAAATTTGTTAAATGGTTCTAGTCCTACCAACTGTAAGTCAAAATGTGATTGGTTAAAAAAAGAACTATAGTTTTTAGCCAGTAATCCTTTCATTTTAATGGAAATCTGATACACAACAAATACAAAACATGTTGCAAAAAATATTTGGCTTTCTCTAGATTTGCTAGTCAAGCAAATCGGGTCAGGCCAGTCAGTGTTCATTTCATTTTCTTAACACTACTATTAGCCTCTTTATGGATTTCAGTGACTTAGCTTTTGTCATTTATCATAAAAGAACAAAGTGACAAATAAACAAGATTTAGTTATATGTGACACTGACACAATATAAGTACAGCTATGTTGGGTGAGCTTTTAAATAAGACAAATCTCTACCATAGCATCTCCCATGAGCCTGTTATGTGTTAATGTGTGTTTTGTGTGTGTCTGTGTGTGTGTAGATGTAAATTTTTGTCACCTCTCCTCATCACCTCTGTCTTTTTAAAGAGCAACACTCACCAGAGAAGTTCCTGGAGACAAGCATGGTAGTAAGAATGGCACCCTGATGAGGAAGAACACAGAAAAAAGCATTATAAGAATCCACCCTGAAACCTATTTAATATGCTGGTGTCGTGAATTAACTTTTAACCTGTATGTTAAGGATTAATAAATTAACACAAACAGAAGCAGAGCAAATCAGGATGAAGGTTTCACACTCTCCAGTGCAAATGTTCCCCTGTCTAACCTCACAATACAAGAAAAGAAGAAAATCTCTGAGCAAAGACCATAACATCACCATGTTACCAGGCTACAAGGGCAGGTGCACTGTTGTTCAAAACACAATGGATTATCACACGAAAATTAGTACGCTGACACTATACCAATACCTATGAAGCCTTAAAACGAGACCCCACAAGCAAATACAAAAAGAACGTCATGAGTTGCTTACAAGAACTGGAAAAGGATGAAGTTATTGACTGTCCTACTTACCATCGGCTACACCGAGGGGAAGTTATACCCTGTATTTAAAGAGTTCCAAAGATCCACAAAGAAGGGGTCTCACTCAGACCCAGTGTTATCAGTATAAACTCAGCCACCTACAACATTTCCAAACACCTATCCACCATGCTAGCACCCGTTGTTGGAACACCCCCAATCACATCGAAAACTCCACTGACTTCACCAACAAGGACCAAAAACTTGATCCAGATGAAACCATAGTGTCTTTTATTGCGGTCTCTCTCTTCACTTGCATACCTACAATTGAGGCAGTGGAAACTCTCAGAAAACAACTACAACAAGACAGCTCCTTGGAAAACAGAACAAGCTTCACCCCAGATCAGATTTGCACACTGTTAGACTGCTTTACCACCACATATTTTAGCCAGCCTTTCCATGGAGGAAGTGGAAAGCACCAGGACAGCACCTAGCCACTGGTACACATAAACTGATGACACCTGGGTCAAAATCTAAATCCAAGAATTACAATCCTTCACTGCTCTCTTCAACTTAGTGGATAGAAACATAAAGTTCACCAAGGAAGACAAAAAGGATAGCATTGTGTTTGGTGGCTAATCGAAGCCTTACATCACTCCCACACTGTCAAGCTTATTGCGACATTTGTGATCTAGTCTTCAGGCCAAGCAGCCTCCACTCCGCGTACTTTAAATCTCACTGCTCATCCATCATTTGCCCTTCCAGGTGCCTTCTAGCAACCCACACCCTCCACATCTCCGCCTTACCCAAGTCATTCAGTGACTCATCAGAGTCTAATCTCCAAATAACATAATTGTATTCTGTATATCAATAAATCATGTTCAATTGTTTCTAATGATATCTCCGAATTGAACTGCCTTTGTCTATATTGGAAACATTTAGGAAAAGATACTGGTACATGTTGAGTCTAAATATCACGCAACAGTTTCCAAATAATATGTCGCGTTTGACCACTGAGCTCACGTTTAAATTTCATATTTGCCTTTTTTTGTTGACCCTAAGTTTTGCCAAGAGAAATAGACTGAGCGGCCTATTAACAAATATCCTATAGTATACTATTATATAATAAGATCAAGTTATTAATGTCCAGTTATTTAAAAATCAATACCTATTATCCATTACCTACTCCTACATAATGTCTGTGTGATAACAGTAAGCATCCCCCATGCCTCCCTTATCATTTTACTGCACTACAAACTTCTTAAGCTGTGTTTAAAAAGGAAGACTACAGCAGGGAAGGGCAAATTGTTTTTATAGCTACTGTAGCTCCTTTTAAAAAAATCTGAAATCAGTTCAAAACTGGTAGACATTAAGCTAGAGTAAGGGTTTCCTCCTTTCTCCTGAAATCAGAGATACAACTTCTTTTTGAACCATCAAATATTTTCACACCTTGAGTTTCCTCCTGGCATTAAATTTCTTCAGGCACTCGACGGTCTCCTGTCTGTGCATCATTGAGGCCACCGTTGAGCGTTGCTGTGGGGAGACAGAGAAAGAGATGCTGAAAATAAAATGTTACAAGAGCAGCTGTGACAGTGATAGGTTTATGTGGGCAGGAGCTGCCAGTGAGATTCTGCATTGGTGAAATGTGTCAATTCTGAGGCCCCTTAGGTAACACAATTTCAGCAAAACTTCAGGATAAAGAGATTCAACTTGGCTTTACAGTATCCGCACAATACATTCTGTTTCCTTACAGAGATAATGATATGTTGTTATGTTAAGGATTTAGATCTTTGACTTAGCTAGTGATTTTGTTGGGTTTTTGGGCCAATTTCTCTCAAATTTTACATTAGTCATTCTTACTAACTATTCCTGCAAACATCACAGGTACTGGGTTTATGACTTAAACTGATGAAGACAGTCAAGAAAAATATTGTTTTACAAATTATAAATGGAAAATACTGTAAATGTAACTTTTTTTTCTTGTTGCTATGATCATATTTTTAAAGATATTGTGCCAAAGTTTTATTGCATAAACTGGCAAAAGTTCACTTAAAACTCCAGTGAATACAATTGCCTAAAGGAATATTTTTCTTTTCCAATGAAAGACAAGTGTTACAGATGGACGTATGACTGTAACTAGTGTTCAGTCTAATGGTTATGTATGAAATGTACATTCTAATTAGATATATTAAATCCTAATGCATAAAAATCATATTATTATCTGTCATAAAAACAAAACAGAAGTAAAAATTAACTTTGTAAAATAATTAAATTGATCAAATAATACATTTGACATAAACTAGTTTTAAACTGAAAAGTACTGAATTCATTGAATTAAACTGACATTTTTATACCCCAAAAAATTACCAACAAAACATGGTAGCACCAAAGCTCATTTAGATAGCAACTGTGTTTCTGATTATTTTATTACAGTCAAAACAAGTCATTTAATTCATTTAACTGTATTTTCCTTCTGAATCTTGTATCAAAAAACACGTTTATCAAAAAGTACTTTTCCTGGAAGAAAAGTGTTCCATTGGGCTCAAGCTTGTGTTTTTAGTTCAGAATCCAGAGTCTCTTGAATTGTTACATTAATCAAAGGCCCTTGTAAGATGGCATTTATTTACAGAGCATCAAGCTGTGATTTATTGCCAAACAAATTGAACATTTCAATGTATTTTTATTATACACACTAACACACTGTTTAAGATGTCAATTTACTCTATTTTAAACACAATTGTAATTTTCTAGACTTCTTTGGAGAGTCTAGAGATTTCTGCAGGAATTTAACTTATCATGTGGAACTCAGTTCTTGGTTGCTGAAGGTTAATAGGTTGAACTTTTGCCTGTCTATGGAAAAAACCATATTCAAGATAAGCTGACATGTCAGCACATATTGGCACATGTCATATTTGGCAGTTTTAAGCACATGTTCTCATAGTTGCTGAGAGAGGATTTGCAAATTACAAATTGCTTGATAGTCAAATCAGGAGCTGTGAAATATTGTTTCCTGTCAGTTTTAATAGGATGCTGGATGTGTATATGCTACTTACACAGACCCATGGGTGCTTCAGAGCCTCCTGGGCAGTGATTCTCTTGGCTGGATTAATAGTAAGCATCTGGTTGATCAGATTTTTAGCCTCGGGAGTCACTGTGTCCCACTCTGGGGAGGGAAACTAAACCAAACGCACACCTAAGCATGCCCACATATACAATAAAAATATGTACCACATCTTATTTAACTTAAAGAGAAACAGAGATGAGAAGCTGACTAACATCATATGCTCCAGCTTTGATCTGTTGGTAGAGTTTGTGTTGGTCCTCGTCCCAGAACGGAGGGTACCCAACCAAAAGGATGTAGAGGATCACACCTACACACATAAACAGCCATTGTTTGAGTGCCAAGAACAAAATTGGCAGAGGTGGTGCTGAAAATAGAAAAAAAACACCTACCACATGCCCAGATGTCTACAGGTTTACCATATGCTTCTTTCCTCAGCACTTCTGGAGACAAGTAGCCGGGAGTACCCGCAAAGCCTACACACGAAAACAAAAAGCAACACAAATGAAGGCCCTGTTTCTTGGCGAAAGTACAGAAAAGAATGCATTTTAACCCTCTCAAGGCAGGCGTTGCAGATTTGCAACAGTTAAAAACTAACAACCTGATTACCCCACATACATATTTTATGAGGTTTTTTTTACTCAGAAGTACCACTGCAGGACTTGGTTGTGCATTAGCAACAAAAAGTTTAATTTGAGCCTGAGAGGGTTAAAAGGTTCTGCTCCTATGCTTTAGATAACCTCTTATTTTGGTGCTTAACTTTTATAGTTTGATTTGTCTTTTGTGATACCTTTAAAAGGTGGTGGAGCAGCTGTGGTTCAAATGGGTTGTCTACCAATCAGAACGTCAGGGGAAACGTTATCCCTGGGCTGAACTCCAAGTTACGGCCAGTCAAGTGGTATCAATTCCTTTGTACTACAGGAACTGCATGCATACTCTGTCAACAGGAGGCTGGACATTATTGTTCATCAGGAGGAATCAAGGACCCACTGCACCAGCACAGGATCTGCCAATTGGTTGAAGGATCCCAATATCTTCTGGCAGTCAGTGTCGCATTGCCTAGCTTATAGTGGACTGTGTATCGCTCCATGGATATGTTTTTCCACACCATAATTGACACACCAACACAACAGCCATGCTAAATGATCTTACAGGCAGCATAACATTCTCCATAGCTTCTTTCACGTCTGTCATGTGCTCAAGATGAATCTGCTCTCATCTCTGAAAAGCGTAGGGTGGCAGTGGTGAACTTGCCAATTTGGATATTCTATGATGAATGCCATTTGGGCTCCACAATACTGGGCAGTGATCATAGGGCTCACTAGAGGATGCTGACACCTCAGGTCACCCTCAAATCAAATTATTATATTATATAGCGCCAAATTTAAAAAAAACCAAAAAAAAAAACAGCTGCCTCAAGCCGTTTTTATATTAAAAGGTAAAGATCCTACAATAATACAAGTCTGTTTCTGATTATTTGGTCAGAGACATTCACACCAGTGGCTTGCTTGAGATCATTTTGTAGGGTTCTGGCAGTGGCCATACTGTTTCTTCCAGCACAAAGGACACGCATGCCACTTAAGGACCTTCTATGGTCCTGTCCAGCTTTCCTAGAGTAACTGCTTGGAAATTCTGGAATTTCCTCCATGCACTTACCACTGGAATGGGAGACACAGCAAACGTTCTGTCAATGGCATGTATTGATGTGCCATCCTGAAGGAGTTCGACTACATGTACAACCTCTGTAGGGTCCAAGTGTTGCATCAGTACAGGGAGTGCAGAATTATTAGGCAAATGAGTATTTTGTCCATCCTGTTCATGCATGTTGTCTTACTCCAAGCTGTATAGGCTCGAAAGCCTACTACCAATTAAGCATATTAGGTGATGTGCATCTCTGTAATGAGAAGGGGTGTGGTCTAATGACATCAACACCCTATATCAGGTGTGCATAATTATTAGGCAACATCCTTTCCTTTGGCAAAATGGGTCAAAAGAAGGACTTGACAGGCTAAGAAAAGTCAAAAATAGTGAGATATCTTGCAGAGGGATGCAGCAGTCTCAAAATTGCAAAGCTTCTGAAGCGTGATCATCGAACAATCAAGCGTTTCATTCAAAATAGTCAACAGGGTCGCAAGAAGCGTGTGGAAAAACCAAGGCGCAAAATAACTGCCCATGAACTGAGAAAAGTCAAGCGTGCAGCTGCCAACATGCCACTTGCCACCAGTTTGGCCATATTTCAGAGCTGCAACATCACTGGAGTGCCCAAAAGCACAAGGTGTGCAATACTCAGAGACATGGCCAAGGTAAGAAAGGCTGAAAGACGACCACCACTGAACAAGACACACAAGCTGAAACGTCAAGACTGGGCCAAGAAATATCTCAAGACTGGTTTTTCTAAGGTTTTATGGACTGATGAAATGAGAGTGAGTCTTGATGGGCCAGATGGATGGGCCCGTGGCTGGATTGGTAAAGGGCAGAGAGCTCCAGTCCGACTCAGACGCCAGCAAGGTGGAGGTGGAGTACTGGTTTGGGCTGGTATCATCAAAGATGAGCTTGTGGGGCCTTTTCGGGTTGAGGATGGAGTCAAGCTCAACTCCCAGTCCTACTGCCAGTTTCTGGAAGACACCTTCTTCAAGCAGTGGTACAGGAAGAAGTCTGCATCCTTCAAGAAAAACATGATTTTCATGCAGGACAATGCTCCATCACACGCGTCCAAGTACTCCACAGCGTGGCTGGCAAGAAAGGGTATAAAAGAAGAAAAACTAATGACATGGCCTCCTTGTTCACCTGATCTGAACCCCATTGAGAACCTGTGGTCCATCATCAAATGTGAGATTTACAAGGAGGAAAAACAGTACACCTCTCTGAACAGTGTCTGGGAGGCTGTGGTTGCTGCTGCACGCAATGTTGATGGTGAACAGATCAAAACACTGACAGAATCCATGGATGGCAGGCTTTTGAGTGTCCTTGCAAAGAAAGGTGGCTATATTGGTCGCTGATTTGTTTTTGTTTTGTTTTTGAATGTCAGAAATGTATATTTGTGAATGTGGAGATGTTATATTGGTTTCACTGGTGAAAATAAATAATTGAAATGGGTATATATTTGTTTTTTGTTAAGTTGCCTAATAATTATGCACAGTAATAGTCACCTGCACACACAGATATCCCCCTAAAATAGCTAAAACTAAAAACTACTTCCAAAAACATTCAGCTTTGATATTAATGAGTTTTTTGGGTTCATTGAGAACATGGTTGTTGTTCAATAATAAAATTATTCCTCAAAAATACAACTTGCCTAATAATTCTGCACTCCCTTTATTGAGACTGACCTTAGTCAAAAGTGTTGAAAAAACAATGAGAAAACCCAAAGAAGGACAAATATCTGTGGCTTCAACTTGTATAACCCTTTGTGTTTTGGGGGTTGTCTTATCTTTTAGATAATCTCTTATTTAGAATTAGATCATCTTTGTCTTCTAAATGCCTCCTTAATTTTTTGAGCATGAAACTTTGTCTGTAGCATTCTTTCTAATTGTACATATGTTTTGAAATTAATGGAGATGCTTTTCTAATTGTGTTATTTTTAATAACACCTACAGACACATGCACACTTCTGTGTGTGTGTGTGTGTGTGTGTGTGTGTGTGTGTGTGTGTGTGTGTGTGTGTGTGTGTGTGTGTGTGTGTGTGTGTGTGTCTTACCAAACCAAGCCTGTTGGTCTCCTTGTACTTCAATGGCCAGTCCAAAATCAGCCAACTTGACTGCTGCGTTCTTACATTTGCTGGCCAGCAGCAGGTTTTCTGGCTGAAGGTGTAACACAAGCACAGTCGTGTCATGTTAGTGTTACATTTTATGACCTTATTAATTTATGTCTCAAGGTTGTTACGACATTGTTACTGAAAGGCTTTTCTTAAATTACTTCAGAAGGGGTGGCAAAATCTAGGGATGTTTTTATTTCATGTTAAGTCATTTGTAACTCCATCTAACCTATCTTACACACTCGCAACAAGTACTATAATCACTATGCAAAGATCTCAACAGTAATCTTGCAGAGTTGAGCCAGATAAAAGTTTAGTATCACATTCAACAAGCTTAAGTTTTTTTTAAAAAATTGCGCTTTAATTTGGTTTCTTTGTGGCTGATATTTTATTTTATTTTATTTTATTTTATTTTATGGCAGTAGTCTTTCTGTGACATTTTATTTTTTAGCAACTGGAAGGACCAGTCCTTCCAAGATGGTCCCTGTTCTTTTTTTCCTGTTTCTTGAGTTTCTGCTGCCTGGGGTATTCCCTAAGCACATGCTCAGTGCTACATCATTGCTACATCTTCCTGATGTACTGATGGATCTTTGTTGTTTCATCTTGGATAGTACTTCTGACACTGACTAATCAGTCTCTTTCCTCCCCCTCAGTGTACAGTGGCACTAGGCTTGGGATGGAACCCTCCACGTATGGTAAGGAGCTTTCTTGTCTTGATGTCAGTGGCTTATATTTCATATTTTGGCCAGCTTATTATCCTAGCAGAGCACCTGATGACTGATGATGATGATGTTTATGACTATGCAGCATAAGCATGTGTGAGGCATTCATACAGAACTTTTTCATAATGTTGCTATTTGCTGGGATTGACACATCTATCACAACTGCAGTCCTCTGTTCCCTGTCAATCACCACTATGACTGGTTGCTTGGACAGCAGCTTCCTAACTCCCACAAGAATTTAGCCCCATTTGTTCTCAACCATCTTTGATGGTGTCTCCTTTAGTGACTTGGGGAGTTCTAGTCCACATGTGGCGCAGATGTTTCTATAGAGCTACTTGGTTGCGCCGCTCGGTGTACTCTGTCCAAGCTTGCATCTTGCACCCTGCTACTATATGTTGGATAGTCTTCGGGGCACCTTTGCACTGTCCGCAACTTGAGTCCTGTTGGCCTGAGGTAGTGTCCTGCTTCTGCTGATATCATGCTCAGCTGTGTGTGTATATGCAAACATTTAGAAAATCAATAAATGCATTTGGGGGGAGGGGGGGTAGTCAACTGGTTGTGGAAAATGGGGCATTGGGAACAAGTTTCTTCTCTTACTTCTTTTCCTATACATAACTTTAAAGGGAAAACAGGAGAATGGGGCAGACCAGTTATACTCAGATCAGAACGCTAAAAATAGTTATGGCTACAGACATATTCAGAGATACAGTCATACATTTTCCAGCAAATAAAATGTACTCTCTCATTTTGAGGTTGAGACACACAGATGGGACTGGAAAATGTGTATAAGCCTTTTTTGCCTTTGTTTACTTGAGGACGACCAAACACATCTTGTCTGTCTGCAATAGTCGTGTCTTTGCTGCTCAGACGCTGATGTAAAAAGCAAATGTGACAAATAGCTACACAGGAATGACAGCTCTTTGCTGTCTGACTAGTTTATGCTACGAGTGACAGATCTGTGTCACAGAAGCAGCAATCATTTCACCACAGTGATAGAAACAGCTGTATGCTGTAATCCAGCTGAAGGACAGTCATCATGTCACCCTCTGCTGGTTGATTTAAAAACACAGAAGGTGCATACAGTAAAGGCCTTAACTTACTGTGCCCAGTAGATCAATCTTATTCAGAAATATTCCACAACTGTTGGACAAATGTATTTTTCATTCCACAAAGAACAGACTCAGTTGTTTGATATTTTAGGAAATACTACTACACTTTATTAATAAAATGTTCTAGTTCTAGTTCATTTGGACAACTTAAAATAACCCAAAACAAAACAAAACACTTTCTAAGTCAAGATTTGAACTTCAGACTAATCGGGGAATTAATTGTTGTACTTTTTTACTTAGTCAAAATGAACAGATGATGTTTTTGTACTTTTTGACACTATATCATAATCATGATAAAGAGAGCTGCAAATGTCAGTATCAAACACAAAAACTGTATATATTATATACAGTTGTATACTCAATGGGCAAAAAAGTCAAATTAAAAACTAAAGTCAAAATGCAAACGTGTTTAATGTTTTCCTTTCCTAAATGTTACCAAAAGTGCACCAAATTCTTTATAAAATTCAGATTTAAAAACTCAATTTGTGAGATTTTAACATATCATCTATTCTGTATATCACTTGTCCACTTTCCTGACTCAAATATTGTACCAAAGGATGTTAGATGGTTAATGTGATTAATATTAATTGCTAAACATGAGGATATTAACTTCATCATCAAACAAGTTACCATGCTGTCTCATATTTTCCAATAAAAATCAGAAATTTGCTTTAGAAAATAATCAGTAGGTAACTGTAGTTTCCATGTTTGTACCTGGAAAAAAAAATTCACATTTGATATTTGCATAAAATTTATAAAATCCTAACAGAACACATGCAGAGGATTCCACACAAATGCACCGTACAGTGATGTTGGTACTGAAATAAGCATCCAACCATAGTCTGATTAGAGCAGGCTCAGGCTGAGAATTATCGTTGTTTCTATTTCTGTGTCTAGACAGCAAAAAAACAAAAAACAAAAAACAATCTAAGTGACTATGAAAGTCAATTCATTGTTAACTCCAACAGTGGGGGTGGTGTGGGGGTTTTATACTGTCCTCTTAAAGAAAAGGGTCACTGCAAATCAACATAAAATGATGTTGTATATAATGTAGTATTTCTTTGAAGATGGGAGTGTTCTCTCCATGATGACACTGTCACGAATCACAGGATGCAAGGGGCCACTAACTGGTTCAATGAAAATGTAGTACTGTCTAAAATATAGTGAGTACAGACTATATAGTGCACTCAAAGAATTCTTCAATGTTTTACGAAAAGTAGTGTACATCTGATGGTTGCTACCCAAGCATTGTATCCAATCATGCATTGTATTAAAGTGAGAGATGAAAATAAAGAGAGCAGTGCATCAAAGCATTAACTAATACCATGATGAAATAAGTATTGCTGAAAAAACATTGCAATCGGTATTTATTAAGTATTTATTAAATGAAATATTTATTTATTTATGTACAGAATATTGACAAAAGTATTACTTATCCATCTAAATCCTTAAATTCAGGTAATCCAATCACTTCCATGGCCACAGGTATATAAACTCAAACAACTAGGCATACACACTGCTTCTGTAAACATTTGGGAAAGATTGGGTCGCTCTCAGGAGTTCAGTGAATTCTAGTGTGATGCCGTGATAGGATGCCACCTCCAAACAAGTCCAGCTGTGAAACTTCCTTGCTATTAAATATTCCATAGTAAACGGTTGGGGGGAAATATAACAAAGTAGAAGTCATTGAGAATGACAGCAACTATGCCATGAACTAGTAGGCCAGGTAAACTGCATAGTGTGCTGAGGTTGGCAATCACTACAGATCTCCAAATTGGGCCTTCAGATTAGCTCAAGAAGATTACATAGAGAGCTTCATGGAATGGCCACTTCATGACCAAGTTCCAAATGCAGTGAAGTAAAGCATGCCGCCACTGGACTCTAGAGCAGTAGAGAAGTGTTCTCTGGAGTGATGCATCATGCTTCTTTGTCTGGCAATCTGATCAACAAGTCTGGATTTGGCTATTACCAGGAGAACAGTACTTGTCTGATTGCACTGTGCAAAGGATAACGTTTGGTTGAGGGGGAATCATGATGCGGGGTCATTTTCAGTAGTTGGGCTCAGCCCCTTAGTTCCAATGAAAAGAACTCTTAATGCTTCAGCATACCAAGACATTTTGGAGAATTTCATGCTCCCAACTTTGTGGGAACAGTTTGAGGATGACCCTCTCCTGTTCCAACATGACTGTGCACCAGTGCACCGGGGGAAAAATCTAAACCTACATGGCCTTGTGTGAAAAAGCCCCTTAAATCTAATAACTGGTTGGGTCAGTTATTAGTAATAAACACCTTAGTTCAATGTTTTTGGGTTCTCAGTTTGACTGTTATTATTTATTCTTATTTGCCACATTTCTAAGTATCTTCTTTCATATATCTTTGTTTCAGTTTCTGGCTATTCTGCCTTTGGTTTTGTACAGTTATTTTATAATTTATATATTACATTTTTTTATAATGATTTTTTATTAAATGTGTACAGTCTTCCCTTTGTGCCCCATTGTGCCCATCTGTCTTTGATTTGTTCTAGCTGTTTTCCCCCACCGTTTCCCCTAGCCTCATTACTGTCATTATTGTCTCAGTCTCCTCTTGCCCCTCTGTTGAGTCACCCACAGTATGCTTTCTAGATTTCCTAGTGCGTCCTAGTATTACACTCCTTGTATAATTACTCTTTGTGCCTCCTTTTGCTTTCTGTTTTGGGATCATGTTTTCCTTTGATCAATCCAGCATTAAATATTCACCTTATGCTCACTTTGGTCTCCTGCATTCTGCACTTGGGTTGGAAAACAATTAACCAAATTCCACACAGTTGATAGTCACAGAGCAAGTTGACCGCACAAAGCACCCAGAGGGCACAACAATCTACATGGAAGAAAATGACTTAGACTGTTCTAGGTTTCTAGTCTACTCACAAAGACTGAGAGAAACAGCTGATATGAGGGCTTGGCCAGCTGCTATCTCAGCATTCGAAGGTATAAAATCTCACAAACCTCAACTGCTTCACTAGCTGGTTATTCCCACTTCTTACTCCCAGTTACTTCACAGTAATAGACTATTATAGGACAATTCAATTCAATTCAGTTCAATTTAATCTTATTTATGTAGCACCAAATCACAACAACAGTTCCCTAAGGGGTTTTATATTGTTAGGTAAAGACCCTACAATAACACAGAGAAAATAAAAAACAACAACAACAATCAGATGGCCCCCTATTAGCAAGCACTTTGCAGTGGGAAGGAAAAAGTCCTTTTTTAACAAGAAGAACTTCCCCAGCAGCCATGTGCCAAAACTGGTTGGTTTCAAGGGGAGGAAGACAGAACAAAAGACACACTCTGGAAGAGAGCCAGGAATGAATAATAATAATAATTACGTGCAGAGTAGTGTTTAAAAACATAGTGAGTGAAAGAAAGGTGAGTGAACACTTGTGCATTAGTGCACTAGTGCATTACACCCCGAGGAGCCTAAGGTTATTGCACTAATTCAGGGTCACCTAATCCAGACCTAAGAAAATGCTTTGTCAAAAAGGAACATTTTAAGCCTATAATCTTAAAAGCAGACAGTGTGTCTGTCTCCCAAATCCAAATTGGGAGCTGTTTCCACAGAAGAGAGGGCTCCTCAGGTTGTACAGGCTGCCTTAGTTTCTATATTTCCTGGGTCAGAGAGAGTGCTGATCTACCCAAGACCTTCCCTGAATCTGTGTCTCAGCAAGTGAACCCAGTGAATTCTGAACAAACTAGTCTAGCCAACTTGGAGCTTCCACTGTATCCTGCACTGGAGCTGCTGTGGACCCAGACATCAGAAAAGTGCACCCTGCTCAGCTCCCACAAGAGTTGACAGAGTCTTCTGAGTATCCTGAACCTCAGGGTAGGATTTATCTACTCCATTGGCCAGTAGCTGTGGGGTCCAACTAGCCCCCACAGCTACTTAGTCTCCGCCACTGGCCACCTCACCAGCTCCCTGAGCTGAATCATCTCTGCCAAGGCCTCTGTCCTTTGTCCTTTGATCCTGCCCCATGAAGTACACGGTCATGGAATAAAACATTTGGCAAGCTTTTCAAGACCATTTAAGGGGAAATAAACAGGCTTTCCAACAGCACAAGATTTATTAATTTTATTGAGTAATTTATTAATTATTATTTATTTATTAATTAATGACCAAACACAATTTTTTTTTACTTTTTGTACTAAGTTTATATAGTCTTAAAATCAATAAAAAGCCATCACACAGATTTCTGCTATAAATGTAATATAAATTGCTATATTAATGTTAACATACATTCTTGACAATATTTTGTCTTGACTGCATCATTACAAAAGATTATTTGGGTTTTTTTTGTTCTTTATAGAGCTTTAGGTTGTTGTTTAATTATATGTTGGTTGGTTATTAACATTGTTTTTTTTTATTTGTTTATTTGCTACTCATACATACTGCACAAATCACTAAAAAATGTATGTAATTCAGTACAGCAGATATTGTTTTATACAGCTGCAGTATGTATCTATGCTGTAAGAAACAGCACATGATAATAAGAGGAACGCTTGATATACACAAAAAATATTCAAACATTCCTCTGTGAAGGATTAGTTACTTTCATCTGTGAACAGGGATTCATTGTTACCTGTTCAGATATACATACATATCCTGCTTAAACATGAAGCAGGTCAATGAAAGTCCAAAGGAACTTAATCAAAAGAACGTCAGCTGCGTGGTATACATCACTGCACCACTGGAGGTGAGCAGACACAAGGTTTCCACCTGCTATGAAATTTCTCTTTCAGTTGTAGTCCACTCAAGTGCATGCACAAGACAGAACTTCAACATATGTGCACAAACACTCATGCACGTTTTGATAAATCCAGCCCATAGACATGCACAGACATGCTGGATATAAATATTTTCACTGCACTTACCAGCTGTCAATTACAACAGTCAGACAAAACACAGAACTATGGAGAACCGCTTACTGATTTACAAAAAAGTGAGACCACAGCCATACTGGGCCTTCATCAGGCAAACAGACAACATGACATCAGAAGATGATATCCAGACCAAACTGCAATACAGATGACAAAACTCAACAAAACGTAATCTGCTACACCACTCACATATAACAGTGGGAATTCCACATAGAACCTTTTTTTTTAAAAAATTGGAACACTGTTCATAATTAATAATTTGTATTAACATTTGGAAGGTATCATTCTTTTTGTGGAAGCTCTACATTTTTCCTTCATGGACTCTTGTCCCTGAGCTAAACCTGACCTGAACATAGTACAGAATGTTCCTTATACTGATTTTATAGCTGTGCAGCTAAAATTCACACACCTACATGGACACAGACACATGACCTGCTCGTGACTCACCTTGAGATCTCTGTGAACCACACCCATCTGATGGCAGTGGAGCACGGCCTCCAGGATCTGCTGGATGCAATGACTGCATGCAGACAGCAGGGGGAGCAGGTTAGTCTGAACACATTTAGCACATTGAGCCCCAACTGTCACAGGCACACATACATGTTTTCAGTGTAGGAACCAGCTCTCTCTTCCACACTCAACACGTTTGCACACACATATAAAAAAGTGTGAACCTGTCTGTGAGCTACACAGAGAGAATGCGTGCAGTTTGCTATTTTCTGCTTTAAAGAAAGTGCCAAATATTAGTCAGGCAGCGTAGGAGGGCTCTGCAGCTCCGTGTGGGAGACACTCTGTCTAACCTGTATATTTTTGTGTGTAATTTATTTAGCAGCAGTGATAACAAAGCCTTTGAGGAAAGGATTCTGCAAGTATTTAAAGTTGTCACTGCTGCCACTCTATTGACCTCTACTCCTTCACCCGTTCTCAGGTTTTCTCACTCACTCAGTCACTCTTGCTCAAAGTATGACAGTCCTAGGACCCACAGGAATTGTAAATATATTTCAGACTTCTAAAATAGTACAACAAGAGCTGCAAAAGCAGAACCAGAAGACAGGCAAGACAGGCAAGGGGAGACAAACAAACAGGCAGCAGGCACAGACAAAACTTGTATCAAATCACAGGCAAAAATTAAAAAACAGGACTATAAAATACAAGCAGCTCTTGTACAGCGGGTGCACAGCAATGCAACACAGTGAGACACACACACACACCTTGAGGTCCCTGTGCACTATGTCATGGTGGTGGGTGTAAGAGACACTGTCTAGAATCTGATGAATACAGTGACTGTGGAGACAGAACAACACAGTGAAGACCAGATAAAGGAAGCAACACGAGAAGGAAAGGGACCAAAAACATAGTAAGAAAGAGAAGTGGACAGAGAAGAGAACGGGAAGATCTGAGGCACAGAGGCTGTTGCAGGGCGAGGAAGCGAGGGAGTTGATGTGAGAAGCACTTTACATATTTCCTGATTTGACTAGACTAGACATATAGAGTTTTTTTAAATCTCCATTGCTAAGATTTCATTCAGTTCATAAACATATCTTTGTTTCTTCGTCTTGCTATTCTGTTTAAATTAAAAGTGAATGTTTAATCCATGTACATGGAGCTTTTCTAAAATGGCCTCCAGAGTGTGTAAACCTGAAAACACAGCTGCACTATGTGACAATGAGAGAAAAGGAGCTTTGTAGACCTGTCATCATATTGCTAACAAAACCGAACATGAAACTGTGTACTTTACAATTGTTGCTAAAACAGACTGTGTGTACAGTGGTGTGAAAAAACTGTTTTCCTGTTTTTTTGTCACACATTTGTCACACTTAAATGTTTCGGATCATCAAACAAGTTTAAACATTAAACAAATATAACACAAAATGCACTTTCCAAATAAAGCTGTTTATTATCGGGGGGGGGGGGGGAATCCATGCCTACGTGGCCCTCTGCGAAAAAGTGATTGCCCCCAGTAAATTTATGTTTTATAACATAAATTAACTGTGGTTTTTTACATCTTTGGAAAGCGGAGTTCACTTTCTTTAGTCACACCCACACACACATAACCTTAAAAAGATGGTTTATGTTCTAAAACCCTTTAATGTGGCTGAATTAGAACAACTCTGCAAAAATGAGTGGGCCAAAAGTCCTCCACAGCACTAGAAAAGACTGGAAAAGATTGCCAGTTATCACAAATGCTTAATTGCAGTTGTTGCTGCTAAAGGGTGGCCCAACCAGTTATTAGGTTTAGGGAGCAATTGCTTTTCACACAGGGCCATGTAGGGTTGGAATTTATTCCCCTTAATAAAAAAAAAAAAAAAAAAAACTTTATTCAAAACAGCATTTTGTGTTTACTTGTGTTATCTTTGTCTAATATTTAAATTTGTTTGATCTGAAACATTTAAGTGTGACAAACATACAAAAAAATAGGAAATAAGGAAGGTGCAAACACTTTTTCACACCATGGCAAAAGACAGACAAAGCTACAGTAACATTACTCATTACTTTTTTGAAGTTGGATGGCACAGTTGTGCAGTGGTTAGAAATGTCACCTATGAAAGCTGTGATAAGCCCGCTGACTCTCAACTGGTAAGTGACTGAAAAAATGGACAGAAGGAAATTCTGAAGCCTCATGTTTGCAGTATTTTTACTGTTGCCTTCTTGTGTTTTTTTCTAGCTGAATATCACAGATTAGGTATGGACTTGAATAAGAAGTAAACAACACATCCATATGTGTCGATCCCAAAGTAGCTTTGCCATTTGTCAAAGCATATAAAATGGTTTAAAAATAGTTTAAAATGAGAAATTTTATTGAGTAATTATCAATAAAACAGGCTTTGGGTAGACTAAGACCACTAACACACTTAGCATATGAAATGACTTGATTATAGTCTATTGCAAACAAGGACATGGACAGCTGAGCTGGAGACCTGATAGTCAAGTAGTCATTCTTGTGATATTTCTTTAAAGTCCACTATCAAGGGCACATGCATTGTAATATAAATTCTCTGTGGACACAAAAAAGCAAGCATTTGCTCACTGTGTGATGATGACATTTACATCACTCAGAAGCAAGCATACCCTAGTGAATTTGTGAGTGTGGAAAGTATTATCAGGATTTAAGAAAGATTAGTCCCATTACAAAGACAGAAACTCAACATTTTCACCATAACCATCTTGGATTTTTGATATCCAATGAGATGAGCAAAGGGGGACTCTGACGGAGAGCATTCTGCCATTTACCTAAGTAGGCTTGCACTAATACACGATGGAGTCTAATGGAGTCTAAAACATAATTCACGAAATTAACCCTCTCCAGGCAGACGTTGCAGATTTGCAACAGTTAAGACCTAACAACCTGATTACCCCACATACATATTTTATGAGGTTTTTTTTACTCAGAAGTACCACTGCAGGACTTGGTTGTGCATTAGCAACACAAAACGTAATTTGGGCCTGAGAGGGTTAAGGTCGAACACAAGTTCAGTAAGGAAGATCTATATTCATCCATCTGTTTCCATTCCTGTGTGTTTGAGCTGGTAGTGTATCCTTTGCAACACGTCTGCTTTCCCACGATAAACAAACTCAATTCTGTCATCACTCTGGCCCATTCTTTTTTTGTTTTTTTTTGCCTGCCCTCTGTGAGCCAATCATTCTGTTTTCCATGCGCTTTAAACGTCATTGCTGTTTTATCACTCTGCCTTTAAGAAGCACATTCCTCCTCCCCATATCCACCTTATCCTGGCCACCACCAGCATCTAGGCTACATTCACTAGACTTTCCTCTGCTATGTAGCTTCATAGAAATTATTTGGTGATTCGATTCTAACTCTGCATTTCAAAAAGCATGTTCAGTTCTTCTTTTTAAAATAAATGTCCTTTTTATAGTCAGTAATACTTGAAACTACTTATTGAGACTGTACACTCATCAGTTTAGTGCAAATAACAGATCAAGGGATCAGAGCGCCATTTTCCCACAGATTTCTTACATGTACAACCATATTTCTTTTTGAAACCACAGCAATCGCCCCTTTGTGGCTTTCAGAAAGAATGTAGAGACACTTTTGCAATGCCTGTATACAGTAAAGTGTAAGCAATCTAGCTGTTGTCCAGTGTTGTCAAGGTGCATATCCAAATTGAAGACAAGTAATAACCAGCACTGAGGAATACATGTCCTGGCATGTATTCTTCAGTGCTGGTTGAAATATTTCTTTACTTCAATTTGACTCAGCTTCAAGGAAAAACGATGCAGTGATAGAGCTATGAATCAACATCAGCTTCACTTCTTGACTTGTTGGTGCACACAGTAAAGTTAGCTCTTAATTACCCAATAGTCAAATTAGCTATAGCAGCTAGTTAGATAGAAGATTCTGAACAAGGCTGAACAGGTTGCGAATAGGATATTGAGCTGTGATCAGCAGGGATAATGGATGCATGGACACATGGAGATGTTGCTGGCTATGCAGAGCAGCAGAGGAATAATAACTGCACTAAACAGAGATGTCCAGAATATGAAGAACTAAATAAAGAGTGAAATCTGGAGCAGAGCACCACAGAGGAGCAGAGCTGAGGAGGTGAAAGGCTGAAGACTGAGGCAGAGCAGCATGTATACTGGAAAAGAGAGATACTGGAGGACTTTAGTAATAATTCATTTCCTATTCTTCTTAAGAAACATAAGATATTAATTGTTATTTTCAAACTTTGTTATAGCCAGCTGTGCGGTCAGCTTTAAAATGCTGGTAGCACGGTGGTGTGTTGGTTAGCACTGTTGCCTCAGAGCAAGGTTTGAATCCACCATCTGGCCACAGCCTTTGTGGGGTTTGCATGTCCTAATCTGTAGCTGTTTTGGTTTTCGCTGGGTAATCTGGATCTCCCACAGTCCAAAGATATGCAGTTAGTAAGGTTAGGTTAATTGCTGATTCTAAATTTGGCCATAGGTGTGAGTGGCTCTCTGTTAACCCTGCGACTCTGCTGTATAAATAAAACTGAACTGAAATATTGGACTGTAAAGCTTAGATGCTTCCAGCACATCATTTGTAGCTGAACTTTGGTCATTAGTGTACCTGGCTGCATAGATAACCCTCAAATGTATTTACCACACTTCACTCCCTTTGGTTGTTTCTTCAGTTATGGTGTCTTGGACCCAGGGGTCTTAGTTTTGTAGAATCTTTATGTTTTCTTTTGGGGTTGTGATGTTATTTATGTTCTAGTCTTTATTATTTTGTATTGAGTATTATATTAAGTCTTTGTGGTTCTAGTCCACTGTTTCATTGTGAAGTCCGCTCCCTTCTTTCTTCATTGTGTCCCAGTCTCCTCTGCTTCTTATTCTGCGTAAACTCTATCTTGTCTGTGTTTTGTCTTCTGTCTGCATCAAGCTAGTGTATCTTTGTCCAGGGCTCCGTGTATATCTCTTGTCCTTGTCCGTTCTCATGTCTTAATCTGGGTTGCTATATTTGTTTACCTGCATTTCCGTTCCCATTCTCTGTTGCTTCCTGTTTTATTTTGGTTGCCTGTGTCTCGTCTCCAGTATGTT